CGGGCCGGCGATGGCTGGAGTTTTTTTCTAGCCATAGTCTGCCGGACCACGCATGCGCGAAGTACGGCTCGTGGCTTTTCGCGCCGTTTGAGTGCCGCTGGTCCGGCTCCCACCAGTTCCTCCTGACTGTCCTCGGCAGCGGACGGAACAACGTCTCTCTTGCGAACTGTTTCACTAGAGATATAGAGAGACGAAATATAGTCATTGTATATAGTTATTGTATGTAGTTTAAAGTTGCAGTTTTTATAGTTATCTAGTCGTTAATCGTAAAAACAAAAAACAATTTTTTTTCTTCAATAGTTAGTTGTTCTTTCTAAATGCCGGGCTTTAAGAAGTGCGGCGAATACCACGAGGCAATGCCTGCCTCTGATGGCCACTCCCTATGCATCAGGTGCCTCAGGGAAGGCCACATACCTCAGAAATGTCCCCACTGTTCCAAACTGACAGCCAGAGCCAGGCGAGACAGGGACATGCGTCTAAAGGTCCTCTTGTTTGAGACAGCCTTACAGCCTGAAGTCAAACAATCCAAGGGTCACGCGAAGCAGATTAAGAAAGCTAAGAGAAAACCATCACCAACGCGATCCCTTCCATCCTCAAGATCGGGTGCAGACGATAAGCCAGGGATGTCAACAGCACCTTCCGCAAGTGTTGCGAGGCCACCCAAAGACAGCCGGAGTAAGTCGGCCCCGAGCCCTTCTATATCGGGTTCAACCATCTCAGCTGTCCCCTCGGTCTCTAAACCGTTCACAAGGACTTCTACGGCTTTGAGAACCGCTCCCGGCACAGAGCGCCCCTCGACACCGAGCCGCTCCCCGGCACCGAGCCGTAGCCGCTCCCCGGCACCGAGGTGCTCACCTGTACCGGGACACTCACTGGCAGCGAAGGGCACGCACAAACGACCGGCAGAGACTAGTCATCCTCCAGTGCATGACCCCACTTCGGCACCACCTCAGGCTAGACCTCTAACAAGATGGCACTCAGGAACTCCCGAGCATCCTTCCCATCCTACTCTGTCGGCACCGAATCGACCTCCGCCTCCCACCAAACAACAAGCGCCTCAACGGTCATCGGCACCGGGGTGCTCCCTGTCTTCGACCGTGCCGGCACCGAGTCGTCCTCCAGCACTGAAAGGATCGTCTCACCACAGGCATCCATCAGAAGGACGTTCACCGGCACCGCGACGACCTTCTCCTCTGGGTCGATCTACGGAGCGGAGGCAATCTCCGGTACCGAGACAATCAACAACGGGAACCACCTCGGCACGGATTCCTCCAATGCCAGTGGAAATAATCCCGCACTCGGTCATTTCCATCCTATTTCCACCCCGGCTTCCTCTCTACCGGAACATTTGCTAGCACCACCGGTCCATACACCCAGGAGATTGTCTTCCTCATCACCGAGCCCTGAGTTCTCTCCCGAAGTACGCTCCCCATCTCCACCGCACTCCGAGTACTCTCGTACCAGCCAAATCTCACCACGTTCCGGTCATTCTTACCACCATGATCCTCACTCACCCAGTCGCAGCACATATTATAGAGAGAGGTCGCGATCACCAAGATCACCACAGCTTTCAACCCATTCAGGATACTCGATGAGATCCCGTCGTTCCACGTCCCCCTATTATCATCATAGGTCATCCTATCATCAACGCTGGTCTCCGCAAAGTCACCTCGGGCAGAAACACCATTCTTCTTCTGCCCCCTCAAGACCACCAACTCCCTCTGGGTCTTCCTCTCATATCGGACAACCTCTTCCTTATGTTTTCTTACTATGTATATTTCTTTGTTAGATGAAAGCTCAAGAGGTAGAGCTTGCATTAGAAGAAGTTGAAAAAGCTGGGGAAGAACAAGCTAAATTTGGTGAGCAATCCTTCTAAATAAGCATTTAGAATAGCTATGAACAAAATTACTTATTACATGGATAAAACATTAGGATTAAATAATTATAGGTTGAATCCTTGCCACATTGGAAATTTTGCCATTGGTTTCCTTGATTTCAATGGGGATAGGATTTCACCCCGATATTGATGAATGGGGATGAAGATCCGGCATCCGCCCCGCCGACAAATAAGGTGGATAAAAAGTATTTTGTCCCCGCCAAAGGGATGGAATTCCTTTTCACGCACCCACAACCTAACTCCCTCGTTGTGGATGCAGTTCAGCAAAAGGCAAAGATGCCACAGCATAAGCCTACTGCCGCAGACAGGGATAGTAAGCGTCTCGATTTGTTCGGACGTAAAGTTTATTCCTCGGCAACACTCACATTACGAATGGCCAATTATTCCGCACTGCTGGCGAATCACAGCTTCGACAACTACGCCAAGCTTGTGCCATTGCTTCAACATATTCCAGAGACAAAACGAGACATTCTAAAGGCTGTTATAAAAGAGGGCTACGCAGCCTCCGGAACAGCCTTACATATTGCTCTGGATACAGCTGACGCGGCAGCACGGACGACAGCTACATCAGTCGTTATGCGCAGAGCATCCTGGCTGCAACAGTCCTCTGCTCCTAAAGACCTGTTTTCGAAGGTTGAGGACTTACCCTTTGACAGGCAGAACCTCTTCTCCGAGAAGACTGACCAACTTCTCCACTCGGGGAAGGATTCCAGAACCACTCTTAAAACACTCGGCATGTACACTCCTCCATACCGTAGAAAGCGATATACGCCCTACCAGAGGCAGAGGCCCCCCCTTCGGCAATCCACTCAGTATAGGCCTCAGGACCAACAAAGGGGTAGGCAGCGGCAACAGCATTGATGGGCCTACATCACCACCGACAAATGGGTCCTTCAAACAATTTGTCTCGGTTACACCATTCCATTCATGTCGCTACCTCACCCATCCCCCCCTGCCCTGTCCCTTTTCAGGGACCCATCTCACGAGATCTTGCTCAGGCAAGAAGTTGCCCGTCTACTCACCGTTGGAGCAATAGAGCCTGTTCCGGACGAATTCAAGGGCAGGGGTTTTTACTCCCGGTACTTCGTAACGGAAAAGAAATTAGGGGGATGGAGACCGATACTAGATCTTCACGACCTCAACCGTTTCTTGTGAAAACAACGCTTTCGAATGGTTACCCTAACTACAATCATCCCAGCACTTCAGAATGGGGATTGGTTCACATCCCTCGATCTTCAGGACGCATACTTCCACATTGAGATCTATCCGGCGCACAGACGATTCCTACGCTTCCAAATCGGTACAGACCATTTCCAATACAAGGTCCTGCCGTTCGGTCTCTCGTCTGCTCCACGGGTTTTCTCCAAGACCCTGGCTGTGGTGACCGCATACCTACGTCGCCTACACATAATGATCTTTCCATACCTCGATGATTGCCTAATAAGAGCCCAATCGTTACAGAAATCGCTCAGTGCCACTCAGACAACACGCATGCTCTTCCACGAACTGGGTCTCATTCTCAATGTTCCAAAGTCATCATTGGAACCACAACAAACAATACAGTTCATAGGCGCTCGTCTAGACTCTACGACCGAACGCGCATCATTACCGATGGAAAGATTCCACACGATGCAGGACTTGATCCAGATCTTACTCGTCAGCCCAAAGGTTCCCATACTACGGTGCCTACAGCTTATGGGACACATGGCCTCCACAACATATGTGGTGAAACACGCAAGGTTACATTTGCGATGCATTCAACATTGGATGGCTCGAATCTGCCCCCCCCAACGTACACGATGCCCACAGGACAATAACAGTTCCCACCCACATCAAGAAATTACTTGCTTGGTGGACAATCCCAGACAATCTGCTGTTGGGCGTACCCTTTCATTGCCCCCAACCGTCGGCGCAATTGACAACAGATGTGTCACTCATCAGATGGGGTGCGCATCTTGGCCCCGAACAGGTACAAGGCCTATGGTCACCAGATGAGTCGCTGATGCACATCAACTTCCTGGAGCTCAGGGCAGTGTACAAAGCATGTCAACACTTCCTTCCCATCATCCACGACCAGGTCATACGAGTCCTTACAGACAATATGACGACCGTTTATTACATAAACAAGCAAGGAGGCGCCAGGTCCCATTCCTTGTGCGCAGAAGCAGTACGTCTATGGAACGTGCAATCGACACAACGTCTTTCTAATCGCAGAATACTTCCCGGGCCAGCACAATGTAACGGCAGACGCCCTCAACAGGTACTTTTCTCTCAATTATGAGTGGGAGCTACATCCTGCAGTGCTTTCGATAATATTTCAACTATGGGGTTTCCCGCTAGTGGACCTCTTTGCCACTTCTCACAATGCGAAATGTCCTCGGTATTGCTCGAGAGCGGGGATTGGACGAAATTCGAAAGGCGACGCTTTCCTATACAACGGGGGACGTCACCTACTTTATGCATTCCCACCCACACCTCTAATTCCAAGGGTAGTGGAGAAAATTATTCGAGAAAGGGCCACAGTAATCCTAATAGCCCCAGCCTGGCCCAGGCAAACATGGTGTCCATACCTACATCGCATGTTGATGCATCCTCCGTTTCCTCTGCCAGCTCGACACCATCTCCTATCCCAGAATCATCGCTTCCTTCTCCATCCACAGGTGAACCATCTCGCGCTCACGGCTTGGTACCTAGTTGGTTCCAACAGTCAGAAGTGTTATGCTCACAATCTGTCAAACACATTTTATTAAACAATTACTAAACAGTAGAAAATTATCTACACGGACTACTTACCTTTCCAAATGGTCACGCTTCTCATCGTGGTGTTCCCAAAAGGATCTGAACCCGGTCTCCTCACCTCTGCAGTGTATCCTAGACTACCTGGTACACCTCAAGAATTTAGGCCTCACCTGCGCTTCCATCAGAGTTCATGTCGCTGCAATTGCAGCCTTTCACCAGCCGATCGACGGATGTTCAGTATTTCCCATCCAACAACTAAAAGGTTCTTGAAGGGAATGTCCAACCTGTACCCGCACTATACTCAACCAGCGGATCCTTGGGACCTCAAAATGGTTCTCAATTCCCTAACGGCCAGACCCTTCGAACCGCTAGCGACTTGCACTTTATATGACCTGTCCATGAAGGTCATTTTCTTATTGGCTATTACTTCCGCGAGGAGAGTGAGTGAGCTAACTGCACTATCAGCTTCCCCTCCTTATACAATTTTTACGCACCAAGGAGTAATACTCCGAACGCAACCACGTTTTCGCCCCAAAGTGATCTCTCGATTTCACATCAACGAGCCTATAATCCTCCCTAGATTCCATCCCAAACCACATGCGTCACCAGAACACGCACGCTTGCACACTTTGGACGTCAGACGGGCTCTCGCCTTTTACATCGAGAGGACCAGACCGTTCCGTGTGACGGATTCGTTATTAATATCAATGACGGACCGTTCTAAAGGTCGCCCATTGTCCGCTCAACGCATCTCCTCTACTATCGTACAGTGCATAAGGTCCTGTTATGAACTACGTAAGAAACCACTGCCCTCAACCCTGAGGGCCCACTTGACTCAAGCGGTCGCTACGTCCACTGCATTCCTCAAGGGAGTCCCCTTGATAGATACCTGCAGAGCTGCTACGCAGCCTTCCGACCTAACCTTCGCCAATCATTACGCCATCCCGAACCTGTTAATACCTGAATCCACAGTGGTGACAGCGGTGTTCTCCTCAGCTACGGCAAGCTAGCTCCCAACCCTCCTCCATTCGCGAGCTTCCACTGCATTCCTCAAGGGAGTCCCCTTGATAGATACCTGCAGAGCTGCTACGCAGCCTTCCGACCTAACCTTCGCCAATCATTACGCCATCCCGAACCTGTTAATACCTGAATCCACAGTGGTGACAGCGGTGTTCTCCTCAGCTACGGCAAGCTAGCTCCCAACCCTCCTCCATTCGCGAGCTACTGTACCTACAGTGGAGCACCCACGGGACACTGCTCGAAGAAGAAAAAGAAGTTACTCACCCTGTGCAGTAACGATTGTTCTTCCAGATGAGGGGCCCAGGT